AACTGGGAAACCATCTTAGTGAACTGTCCCTCAGACAAAGGACTTCTGTCTAAAACATATAAAGAATTAAAAAAAAATCAGACCCCCAAAACTCAAGGATGCAATGCAAAAATGGGCATCTGAGATGAATACACACCTCAGGTGAAGAAATACAAATGGCAAATAAATACATGAAAAAATGTTCATCATCATTGGTCATTAGAGAAATGCAAATTAAAACCACACTGAGATTCCATCTCACTCCTGAAAGAATGGCCAGGATCAAGAAAACTACCAACAACACATGCTCGAGAGACTATGGGGGAAAAGAAACTCTCTTTCACTGTTGGTGGAAGTGTAGACTGTGCAACCATTGTGGAGGTCAGTTTGGAGATTTCTCAGAAAGCTTTGATTGGAGGTCCCTTTTGTTCTAGCTTTCCACTTCTAGGCATATTCCCAAAAGAACTGAACACTCATACCACAGTGATATACGTTCACCCATGTTTATAGCAACACAATTTGAAATATCCAGATTTTGGGAACAACCTAAGCGTCCATCAACTGAGGAATGGATAAAAATGTTGTGGTATTTTTATACAATGGAGTACTACTCAGCTATAAAGAATGATCACACTGAGATATCTATAAATAAATGGATGCAGCTTGAGACCATACTAATAAGTGAAATAAATCAAACTCACATGCATAAATACCAAATAGTTTCCCTAGTGTAAGAAATGGTAAGAATACATAAAAGTATGTTGTAATCATGATTCCCCATTATATTGCTTTGAAGTCTTATAATGTTTTCATTCATTAAGTGGAATGGTTTTATTCTGGGTTGTTTGATTTTATTGTCTGTGATGGTATGATCAACTATTTTGAAGAAAACATAACATTATATAGCTAGTGGTGATTTAATATCATCTTGTTTTGAAGTCTCACCAAGCTTTTATTCTTCTGTCTCCATTGGTTTTATCATGTTGTATCTTATTGGATTTTATTATATGTGATAGTATAAACACAAATTTTTTAGACAAGGAGATAATATAGAAACTATTGTTCATTTCTGTTAGTTGGTTCTGAATACCCAGTAATACTTGCATTCTCTTAAATGGTTTTACACTGTCTTTTTATGTTTGATACTATCGTATGTGAAGGTATACTCAAATATTTCAAGGAAAGAGACACTATGGTAGCTACTGTTATGTTGGATTGTCTTGTGGTTAAACACTATGTTGCTTAAAATCTTCTGTTCTGACCTGTGTTATTTTGTCCTCTTTTATCTTAATCTTTTTTTAAAAATTAATAAAACCTCACTCCTAACCCATTCTTTTTCTGGTCTTTTGTGGAGTTGTTTTCTGTGTCTGAGAAACGCTGAGAGTCTCTTTCCTAAAGGTACATTCTGGACAGGATGTATTTTCAGGTCATATATTAAGCCTGAACTTTCAGTAACCAGCATAAAAATGTTTACTTCTCTTTTGTGGTGCATGTGACAACAGGCGAGCAGGGGGCCCTTTTTCCTGTACTCTTTCCTCTGGGCTTCAAGCCACCAAGGCTGCAGAGAGCTCCATCTCCTGGCTCATAGTGGAAGCCGGCTTGACCTGCAAGACAGTGTGGTGGAAAACTACTATAAATACCAGTTAGTATTTTTGTCACACAGTTACATAGAAATACTGCAACAGTCATTTAATTAGTATGCTACAATGCTACATTTCATTTTTTTAATTTTTAGTTTTTATCAATACTGCAGTACCTAATGACTACATTCATTGTAGAGAATTGGTACATGTACCTAACATATCTCAATTCCTCTTTTCTCCTTTCCTCCACCCGCTTTTTTGGCCAGAATCAGATTCATTTATTTATCTTTAAGACTTTGTCATACATATAGATTAACAACCAGATTGATAGGCAAAAAACCAAAAAACCCCTAAAGCACTGAATACAACTGTACCAAATCAAGGTACATTATTTGCTTCTTTAAAAGTATAGCCAATAAACGCATTGAGGACATGACCCCCATGAGCTACCCTAAGGCTGAGGATTTACTTTAACAAGAGACTTTCATTTTTTCATTAATAGATATTGTGATAAGTTTGGTTTAAAACTAAGTCATATCAGTTATAACCATCAATTCTAACGGTCTCAGTTCACCCATCGGATAAAAGGTAGAGGTATAAAAAAAAGATAAAAACAAACTAACACGGTACCTACAATGTTTAAAGTGCTTAATAGTTTTGAGTTTTTATAATATAAACACATCTTTGAGTGTTTCTGCCCTATATGATAGCTTACTCATTAACCACATAATCTTCCATTCCTAGTATAAAGTCTTATTTTGCATTCCTACTGCATAGGCAAAATCAGTTTTGTCCCCTATTTGCATCTGGGCTGTTCTGTGACTTGTCTGTCCAACACTATGTGGGTGTAATTGATGATGTGTGCCTCTCTGATTCAAGACTCAACAAGGCTCACAGCTTCTCTCATCACCTGTCGGAATGCTGAGCTGAGATTACTGTGTAAGGAAACCAGTTGAGGGGCAGGAGAAGGAAGGTTATCATCTCTCTCTTAGGTCACAGCCACTACACTCATCAACAGAAAAGTAGCACTGAACAAATGGGATTTTTAAAAAATCAAATAACCACCACTGACCCTTTGCTAGATATAACTAACAACAAAGTTTAATGGGCTTATTCCAAATCCATGCACACTGAATCTTATGAAAAATACTTCAAGAATGCTGTCTGCCAAACCTGCTTTGCAGACAGATCTGTAAAGAAAGTGGTGAGGAAGACAAACACCACCCAGGCTCCTCCCGAGACTCAGCTTCCTGAGGTCACAGGAAGAGCATCACCCGACAATTGCTTATTTCTGGTGCACTTCCTGATCATGCAAGAGGGCAGCGAGGTCGTGCTGGACAAGCAGGGTTCAACTGACATAAAAAGCACCTGCAGGAGCTGGAGGATGGGCAGCATAAACTTAATTTAGGAAGAGTGTCACCAGTAAGATTTAGGTGATTGAACCTGCAGAGACCACCAAGTTTCCTCAGAAATTCTGCCCTGAGGGTCCAGAGCTGGAAGAAGCACCTGCCAAAAGAGAAAAGCTAGATATGGGATGGAATAAAATACTTGGAGCTTACAGAATGCTTCATAAAAGGAAAATAACCCCAATTTAAACTCAGCAAATTAGCAGAAAATAAGGCCCTAGCACTTATTTGGCCCTACGTTTAATTACTATCAGAAAATCTTGAATTACTCCTTCCTTATTATGCAGCAAGATCAATAAGAATCAGAAAGTCAGATAAGCAGCCAGTTAAAGCATTCAACACAGATGGGCCACGTCACTGTGCTCAAATGCCAATAAAAGATCTCTTTTGAACAAACTTCTCAAATATCTGTCTTATGCCTCTTGGTGCACTGCCCCCAAAAACAGTCCCAGAAATAAGGAGGCGAACTTAAGATGACTTCAAGAGAGACCTTGTGCTGCCCGATCCAAAATACTTAGGATGCAAATAACAAAGTGAAGCTGGGCTGGCTTCCTAGTTTCAGAGACCTCAGGTGTTGTGTGTGGACCTTTCTTTAGGCCTCTCCTTAACCAGATTTTCCAAACATTGATCCTTCACCCAGTCCATGGGTGATAAATTCAAGACTACAGGCAAACATTAAAAGTACCTGTGTCCAGAGACCTCCTGTCTATGGTAGCACTCAGAGCAAATTCTGTATAATTTTCGCGTGGTGTTTGTTTCTTTTAGGATCCCAGCTCCAAGGGCGATTAGTATAGCAACGAGGGCTCCACCTCCCCTTGACCTCTGGACCCACATCCACCACTCACGCACCCACCCAACCACCAGACATCTTTTCTGTATTTGCCACCTCGCCAGCTCTCTTCACTCACTCCTCCTTACACCAGGGTGCAGCCACCCCTTTATCCCCCAACCAAAGGCCCCAGTTTCCATGCTTCTCACCATCATAGGCTTGGAGAAAGCTGCTCCTGTTTATGCTTCTGGGTTTCTTTCTTCTTGACCTCTCTCTGCAGACTCTCAAAAATGCTCAACCACCAAAGCCACTTCTGTGCAGTCACCAGGGTCCTCCCCACTGCTGGGTCAGGTGATTAGTTCCTGGTGTTCATCTTCTTTAACTGCTCAACAAATACCCGTGTGACTGATAGCTCTACCCATGTGGCATCAGGGACTCCTTTCTATCCATGCTGACTTCTCTTTCACACCTTTGAAGGTTCTTTAGAACTCAGAATCTTGCTGACATTGGAATTGATAGGTATTTGATTTGTATAATGCCCAAGACAGACATCTTTTACTTATATGACATCTTTACCAGGCAATGACAGAATAATAAGACCACTACAATCAGTAACAGCTTCTCCTTACACAGGAATGAATGAATTTCCATTATTGACCTGGAAGTTTTTTTTTTAACCACAATACACCCTAGTTTCAATTCGTGACACATCCTTGACAATTGTCTTGGCTCCTGGCTAGCTTTAGACTTTTGACCTCTGCCGAACATGTTAAGAAGTCACTGAAGCAAACAGGACTTGATCAAGGCAGAGTTTTTAAAATGACACATGTGGTCACAGTTAGCGTCCTGATACTGTTGGCTTCTCCCTGCTAGATTGATAGCACTGTGAAAGCCCTGCAGCTGGTGTGGTGGCTCCTACAAGCACTGAAGGAATCAATTAAAATCACAGATTCTAACAACAAAGTGAACAACAGAGTAAGTGCATCATCAGCCACAGCCTTGTAGCATCCCCAGATCAATCCAAAGAGTATCAAAAATTAGCCATTGAATGACATTCAAGCACTTCAAAGGTTCCAGAAGGAAAGCCAGTTCAGCGAGCAAGCTTTCCATCAGGCTTAGTTGGGTTCACTTTATATGACAGTGTGGTTTTTCTATACCAAAGTGATTAAGGCAGGGTCTGGAGCTGGAGCTGGCCACGTGCTGAGTGCTACCTTCTCTCTTTTGGGAATTGAGTGAACTGCACACACCTGAGCAGCCTTGGGTATAAAAGCATTCTGGCTCCCCAGTTCCCAGTTCCTTGTTTGCCTGTTGCCTGAGGAGGTCTCAGCCTCATGTCTAGCATGATGAAGTCTTTGCTCAGGCTAGGAGGATCATTGCTGCTACTTCTTTCCTTCATGTGGATTTGCTCTGGGCAAGAACAAGGTACCAGATTGAATATGCACTGGGGTGCTTTGAAGGGGTAATTTCTCAATACTGGGAGTCCTAACTAAGATTTTGGTTGCTAGAATTTATTGTCCCCTCCTACAGTTAGTACTTAGTAATTCTCACCAGTGCCTGGCTTTATTCTCTCCTTGGGACCAGCAAAATGTGTCAAATGAATCCTGTACTCAGGTTGCTGTTAGGTTCTGAGTTTTCCCACAGTTTATTCCACCTCCTCACCTCTCACTTTTCCTACTTGGAATTTCCCAGGAAGTCACCTGTGGGAGGATTGCTCTTCTACATGACTCTCCCTGAATTACTCAACCACATATCCACACTGGTCTCCCTACACCATTGCCTCTCTTCCCATCTGGGTTACCAGAGTTATTTTTTCTTAAACTACAACTCTGCACAATCCTTCTTAAACTCTCCAGTGCTTCCCTTCAGCCACGAAGGTGGGGCATAGATTGGCCTTCAGCGTCCTACAAAGACTGACCTCAGGTTGCCCTTGATTCCAGGTGTCCACTGGCTTCCCAGAGCACCTCAGAAAGGACGTTTAAGATGCTTGTTTTTCCAAGGGCTGCAAGTTCAATGACAGGGAATAAGGGTGTTCTAGGCCACAGAGATTTCAGGTTTTATGCAAATTATGAGAGGAAGGAGAAATCTGTGTACACACTGGTCAAGTAGTTGTGTCCACAACCATCCTAAAAGGAGAGGGAATCTGGAGATAAGGCACTCCCATAGGAGACTGCCAACCTGACCCAGAGTGAGATAGCCATACTATGATCTGGGTACTGACTCTGTGGAAGTGAACAGGTGTGAGCTAGACTTCCAAGGAAAAAGTGAAAAGATCTGGGTAGATTGGATGTGGGATGAAAGGAAGGAAGGAATTGGAAATAAATTCTAAATACTTTTGGCTTAAATATTGGGCAGATTGTGGTGCTATTGATTGCCATACAGAGAAAGTATACGGGAAATGGAGTAAAATCATGAGTTCTCTATTGAAAATGTCTCTGTTAAAAGGAATATTTTAAATATTCTTCATATCTAGTAGCTAACCAGAGAGATGAGACTAAAACTCAGGAGAAAGGTCCATGCCAGGCATAAATACAACATCCCGGTCTCCTGGGATAACACCTGGGTTTCTGTCCCAAGAGCAACAAGCAAGCACAACTCCCAGTCCCATCTCTGTCCTTCTGTGACCCTGAGTCACTTTTTTCTCCCCACATAGTGGACATCGGCTACCTTGTGGCACACTGCTATGGCTAAAGACTTAAAATCTGGGATCCAGCTTCAAAGGGCTCAAGTTCCACAGAGACATCACGTTAGGATGCTGGACCAGAGGGAGCTCTGAGTGTTCCTTCTGAGTGCAGTGTGGGTTGATGGTGGTCACTGGGGACTGGTGGTTAGGACATGAACCCTTAAAGCAGTGAGAAGAGTGGTATCACTATGGGCTTCCTTCAAGTGGCCTACTCCTGCTCAGATTTAAATTGTTCTTTAAGATGGTTTTTTCTTTTCTCTTTTAGCAGTGTCAGTGCAATGCACCCGTTTTAATTTCCAGGCTGTTGTTAAAAGGCGACTGCTTCGTGCAAATGAATTTGTAGAGCCTGAGGAACTATCTCTAGGGAAAGACTGTCCAGCTACTCTTGTGCTACCAGAAGAAATTCATTTCAGTTATCCTGTCAGCCTCTGTGGAATTAGCATGCTGGTAAGAGAAGCAACCTTTTTACCCAAAGCCATCTGTAACGTCCTGAGAAAGGCTGATTTGTGTTTGGATTATAAAATGGTACAGGTATTCTCCACAGAGGAAAACACATGACTCTTTTTGTTGTTTTCTTTCACACATCAGAGAACTGCTATGTGTAAGAAACAGCCTCGGAGTAGATAAACTCAATGATCTTTCAAAGAGTCCACAGCTTGTGCGGTGGGGCAGGTGTAGCATGCATAGCACGCATAGGGAAAACAGCCACACTTGAGGCTCTTCTAATCCTGTGAGACTGGTTCTATCCCCACATCAGAGCAAGGCACTGAGGCATGAAGGCCAGCAGTGTGGAGTTAGTGTTCAGCAGAACCAAGTGTGCTGCTGCCTAGCCTAATTGCTTTGTTTTCAGTGAGGACAGCTCTGGGATAAGCAGAATGGAATGGATAACAAGAGCAAAAGAAATTTCCAGGGAGGGAGGTTCAGAGGAAGGAATGAGCTGGGAAGGTCTTGAACTAAAACTAGACTTTGCTTGTTCTCTCATTCAAAAATATCATTGAAAACATACCAATCATGCTTCAGAAGCCAGAGATGCTGCCAGGACACTGCATGGTCTTCTACAAAAAAGAGTTATCTGGCCTCGAATCCCCCAGTGGTCCAGGTTGGGAAGCCCTGGTCTAAGATACTGGGTCATTTTCTCTTCTACTCTCTTATTCTATGCAGCCTCTCACCCAGAAGTTTAAATACTTACAACTGAAACAGTCTATACTCTGATAGTATAATGAGAGTACTTTATACCTTTAAAATTGTCTTCTCTATCTTAAATCTTTTTAATAGCTGAATGAGTTAAACCACTTTCACTCCAGTGGAAGCAGATGGGTCCTCATATAGAATGTTGTGCAGCTAATCAACTTTTACAATAATTTAATGACATATGAGAATCTCTTTGCAAGTAGGAATAAAAAACGCATAATAATATATGATTGCAATAGGAGAAATAAAGGAATAGAGGGCCAAAATGGATTACATGTAAATAGATAAACTGAAATATGAATTTCCTATAATCAGTGGAATTGTGTTTCATTTATTGACCACTGAACATATTTTAAATGATAAGTATATATTTTAAGTTCAGAAAATTTAGTTAGCCATATTCTGTTCCTGGCTAACTTACAAACCAAGACATGGATTTGTTCCTGCTCAGTCTCTGGAATATTTGGTTCTCATCACTTTTAACTAGCTATTTTTCTTTTTAAACACCTAATGTGTTCAACAATTTGGGAATGAGGAATTAAGGGAAAGTAGCACAATTCAGTTTAGAGGTATCATAAAGTGTTTCAAATCATCATAATATTTTTGTCCTTTCAATTATCCTTATAAGAAAAAATGTCTCCTAAGTCTCTGTAAACATCTTTGTTCCCTAGAATTTTGAGATAGTTAATAGACTTTCCAGCCACTTCACCCTCACTTAAATTCTCAAAAGCCATGCATTGCCTGTTTTTCATTTATTTTATCATTAATAATTTCTTTCTGCTTTTCCAGTTAATTGGAGTAGATATCTTGATCTCTACAGATGTGGAAGGAACTAGTTTTTTTTATCTGAAAGTATGTTGTGACAGATGAACACAGAAAGTTCTTTTTTCCCACCAGATGTACATGTATACGCTTACCTTCTATTCCTGGCTGAATTATAAACCGAGGAATGGATTAAATCCTACTGTAATTCCACTGGAGTGTTCACTTTCCAGGTCAGTAAAAATAGTCACTAGCTCTTTGCCTGCACAGTAAAAGCTTTGTGTTGAAATGGTGTCCTTCCTTACACAGACTTTGAAACCTCATGGTCATTGTTATTTAGCTTCTCAGCCTCAGAGCATGTTGGCCTGATAGTCAGAGGCCAAAATCCAAAACAAATTAATGAAACAAAATTACAAAGCTGGAAAAACAACTTGATCTTTTCTTTCTGCTCCCCTCAGGAGTATGAGGACACATTGCCAACTGTTACCCAACACCTATACAGGTTTCTTAAGTGTGCCAATTGGCTTTGCTCTTCACAGTTGGAGAAGCTCTAAATTGTGCAAATAGTTGGGGTGGTAGAAGTAATTTGTTACTCTCCTGAATTTTAAATTAATTCAGTAATAAATGATTCAGGAGACATAGCTTTTGTTTTGTTATGTTTTTCTTTTAGGGTTTAGTTAGCAAGGTGTTTTCCATGTTTTATTCTCATTAGTAGGTGTCTGCAATACATGATTACACTCCTTCTGTGGGGTTGATATGTGTACATAACCCACCTCACCCTCTTCCCCCTCTGTTCTCTCCCTCTTCCTTGCATCTCTTAGCCTCCTTCCCTTTTGCAGCAAAAAAGACAGTTGGTAAAGGGGGCTTTCCCTCTCCAGCTGGAAAGCCTCCTTGCTTGAAGTCCACCCTGAAATGACTTTGTTGACCCTGGGACAAGTGGAATTGTATGATTGCAAGTTTCCCCTTGAAAGCATGAACACTTCCTAGTAAGCGGGCCTCTTGGCCATGAGGCAGGCAGAGTGTGCCCCTTAAAGGCAGTTTGGCTCCAAACAGCCAGTAAGAAGGGACTAAAAGTGACCAATTTCTTCTCCCAAATTTGCCATTGGCTATTACTCTGAGAAGAATTAAGGCAGAAGGCTTGGAGGAAATAAAATTCATTTCCTCTTTCCTGGAGAGTGAACCAAAATCACTTTTCCTTCTCTGAAAAGTTTTTTTTAAAAATGTAAGTATCAAGGGAGGCATGGTGGCACGTGCCTGTAATCCCAGCACTTGGGAGGCCGAGGCAGGAGGATTGTTGTGAATTTGAGGCCAGCCTTAGCTAGAAAGTGAGCTTAAGCTCACTCCAAACTGCATGGTAAGACCCTGTCTCAGAAAAAAATTTTAAGTATCAAACAGCCTATTAAAAAGAATGTTCTATGGTTTAAGCAGCAAGAACATATTTTCGTAAGTAAATTAGAATTAAATAAGGAAAGAATTAGAAGGCTCACAAATCATAAATTCAACTAGGTAGGTGTCAGCTCTTGAGCAAAGATGCTGTCTGCCCGTTGCTCACATCGATAACCGTAGTTAAGGTCCTACTCTGCTGGCAACAGGTTTCAAAGAGCTGTAGAGATCTGAATCCTCAGCATGGACTCAATGCAGGAGTCACTGCCATCCCTAGGTGAGGACTGAGAAGCAGAGTAAGGGATTTGCCAGCTTCTCACACCTAAGAGCCCCAGGTTTGCTTTAAGGCAAAGCAACCTGGCACATCACACAGTACGCTGTCCTGTCACTGCGTGGTGGTGAGTGAGCTCTGGTTCCCGTCCCCCTACCTGACGGGGTCTTCTCTGATCACATTTTTAAAAAAAGTACTCAAACAGTCTTGGTAATATATTAAGCAAACTTGAAGAGATTCTAGAAATGTCTTGTTTTAGGCTCATTACTACTTCCAAGCAATAATTCCTCCAACACCCTGAATATCTCCCTGATACAGTGTTTCTCAACCTAACATAGCAGTTTTGGTGTCCGTGATTTATGATCCCCCCAAAAAGGGTGTGGTTAACACAGCTGTGTTATTCTTAAAGCAGCAAAGAGACATAATATTAGTGAACCTGTGAGATCTCCATTAAGGTGTTACATCACGGGTATAGACTCTGAGGGCCCAGCCTGCACCCCCACTTCTGTATCACAGAGTCATGCTGCAATTAAACCAGCATACTGAGTTTCAGGTTTTTTCAATTTTATTTTGAAGATAAAAAAATCAGAAAAATCAAAAAGAAATCAGACAATGACACCACCGTTAGAACAATATCAATCCTCCTGCAACTCATGTAACATGGCAAAGAGAGGTCTGCGTGCCTCTTTATGATGCCTGAGCCTGACGTTCAGTACAAGGAACAACAGCTTTTAAACCTTTGTGATGATGCTTAATTTAACCTTTTCTCTTTTTCTTCTGACAGTGACCCTACTTCCCCAGAAGGCCCTAAAGTTCATACTCCCCTCGTCCGTAAGACTGAACAACAAGAGCCAATCGTTGCAAAACAAATTTACTGCCATAAATGTCATGAATTTCACCTTGAACTTAACATGGTAAGGAGTCCACAAGGCTCACAAGTAATGTGCTAAATCGTTTTTTTTTTTATAACCAAAATGAAAACAAAATTCATGACAATCACAAACAGGTAAAGGGAAGCACTCTAACCCCAACACATACCACCACACAAAGGCCTGCGTGGTCCCTGATTCTGGAGCAGAGGGGTACACAGAGGTGTGTGGCCTTCGCTCTCTCATCCTTTGTGTCCCATACTGTGCAGAGTTGATTTGAAGAAGACCCTGCCATTGTCAGTCTTAGAATTCTCCCCTTATCCTGGGATATTTTTCCCTCACTGTAAGATTTCCCTTTACAAAGTTCAGTTGGACATTAAAATCCAAAACCAATGCGTGTAACAGCAAGAGACATTGGTTAGCAGTTTTGAAGTTGTCAGTTTGAAACATTTGCTTCACACCTTCCCCAAAGAGAGCAAATTTCAGGGTTAGGGGGGTGTGCAGGAAACAAATGGATGAAATTGCTGGAGTTTTATCACTGGGTCCATTTCAAACAACATTTCAAACATTACAAGACGCGCGCGTGAATGTGTGTGTGTGTGTGATTTTTTTTTTTTTTGTCTCTTGCTCTGTTTTCCTTTTCCTATAATCCTTAGGAGGCAGAATCTGTGTTGCTCTCATCTGAAAGTCAAAAATATTTTAAGACTGTGAGTGACAGAGCTCATTTCTTACAGTTATAGAAAGTTCCCTGGTTCATTGCTAGGCAGATGAGTCCAGGGAGCCTTGCTTATGGACTTTGTTTTTTCCACAGTCAAACTTTCCTTATAGGCTTGAGAATCAAGAACATGTTAGCCTGGCTGGCTTTCATCAGACATTTAGAAGCTTCTCACCTGGACATGAAGTAGCAACAAAAGTCAGCTAGTTTAATCACATTATGTGGTCTCTTACTTTTATATCCTGGTCTGTTTTTAACTCATTTTAATCTATTGTAATCCCCTTTATGATGCCTTTGAGAAGAGGCTGTTTGTATTTTTAAGTAAAACGTGGCATATTTTATTGCATGCCTGTGTCTGTTTGTTTCTAACTTAATTAAAACTGACTAACTCCTAAGCTGCTAGGCTGAGTCAGTTGGTAGATGGGAGCCTAGGGTTCAGCCATCCAGCAGCTAAGAAATACCCAGCTACCGAAACTAGTCCTACCTGAATGTAGTACCAGAGCCTGTAAGGTAACTTGGAAAACAGTAGAAATTGAGAGCCACTAGAAGCACAGAGAGCCCAAAATCACAGACAGGAGTGCTCCTTGGAGCTTCCCCAGTAACGTAATATACTACATTATTCTCCAGTATGAATTGAAGGAATTAGATCGTGGCCTGTGTGACATTCTTCTACATGTTATTTCACCAGACACTTTGAGTACTGAGTGGTTCTCCTGCTCTTAATCCCAGAGATTATGTTAACTGGGTTCAGAAAACACTGGAAGTTGTGATTCTAGCTACCTATGCCTCTTAAGATTTGCTTCCATGAAAATATTACTGTCACACTATGAAAAATGGGACTTGAAACAAATATCATTGTCCATGAATTCACATCTTCATTGTACCTTAGCTGTACACCACTTATTCAGTTAACTACTGTAATGTATAATAGAGTTTATAAAGTCCAAAATATGGGATATTCTCAAGGGATATACAGGGCATAGATAGAGCATCCATTCTATGGGTAAGAAAGAAAACACAATGGATTGGTCCAGAGCAGAGGGAATTATTGCAATGATTATCCATATTGAGCTTGTTTAGTGCTGTTTAGCAAAAATACTTGGAGCTACAGGAGCATCTGATAAGAATTGGGGTCATTTGATAAGGACAGTGAAAAAGATATCTTAAACCTTAAGGACATGGATGTTTTTAGGGACAGGGAAGAGAATGACTGTACCTAGCAATGAAAACAATCTGCTTTGAGGCCTTGAGCTCTGAGGCCAGAGTGGGATTCCACATTGGCGTATAGAAAGCACACCCATGTGACCAAAGGCTGGAGAAGTTAAAAATAGCACTTGAGACCCCATGTGGAAACCCTAACAGAGTCTGTGAAAAGTGTGGGGGATGGAGACGAGGTGAGGGCAGGCATTCATCTTGCTACCTCCACCCAACATGCATCACTCTGGTGGAGAAAAAAGACTGTACAGAAAGCTGTGTGCACACAGGCACCAGCCACTTGATGAGTAGTTGGAGAGCCTTCCTGGTCCTACAGAGAAGGAGCCAGAGAGACCACCTCCCCTGCTGATCCAAAGGTGGGTTCTGCCCCAAGCCATCCCTGCCCAGGTGCTCATCTGTACTGGGATACACAGGGGACAGTGCAGACCCTCATCATGGAAGTGTGACAGGAGTTGGAGAGAAATGCTAGAGGGACCCATATCACCACTGGTTCATGTGAGGTCTCCATGCACATCTTGCCTGATATCTTCTGCCCCACTGGAAAATTTGTAAACTGCAGGAGGGGGGAGCAAATCTCACTGGGAGGAAGCTTTGTGAACAAGATTCCTGCTATCTATTTCTATTTGATTCTTCCCGTGCCTCAGTGTGAGAGAAACATGGTGATCACTTGCTGTGTGTATGGTATGAGGGGAGGACAGCAATGAATTCATCTCTACCTTCACAGGCAGAGTACATTTGAGTAGTGATTTTAGCAAAGTCAAAAATAATGACAGGGAAATGTATTGATTTTGGAGAGAGTGCTCAACACAAATCATTCTGAAGCAGTAACATAAGATAAAACGTGGATGATGAGAATGGTCAGTGCAAAGCCCATGTGAATAGCATTCCAGACAGGAGCTTAGCCTGTCTGAGGGGTGGAAATACTATCTACCGAGCAATGATTATCAATAAGGAGATCCCAGCTCTCTGCCTTCCACTGTGAAGAGCTGAAGAAACAGCGTTGAAGCCCCAGCATGCTCCTCAGGGGACCAGACCCTGAGAATGTCATCAGCTGGAAGTTTGCAACAACCCCAGCAGTGGACTGGGAAGTCAGGAACTATAAAGATGGGACCCAGAGGAGAAGAGTGCAGCAATTCTCTCTTTAATGTAGAATTGAACACTGTGGGGATAACGCGGTTGGGTTCATAAACAGGAGCAACTAACATCATCATCCATACCTCAGTCCTTAGGACAAAAACACCAACCCATGAGGGCAGGCTTGTGCAACTACAGTGGAATTTCATAGTAAGAAATTTTTAAAAAATTTTATTTAAGGAGAAAATGGAAAAAAAAAAACAGAAAAAGGGTACAAGTTATACAGAACCTCAGGAAAAAAAAACAGGAAATTACTAGCTAACAGATTACATATTGTCATCTTAGAAATAGCTGTTCAAGTTACAAAATCAAAGCATACAAAGTGCAGATTCAAACAGTCAGACTGCAAATAGTTCTGTTCAATGACCCAACAAAACTTAGTAATATGGTTATCTATCTTATACACTTAAATATACATGCAGTTATATCCTTTAGAGCACTTTCTTTTCCTTTCTTTTGTACAATGACAATTACATATTTTGGGTTTTATTACTCCCACAGTTCTTATTACTTTTTTTGAAGAGAATAAAACCAAATGTGACATAACAAATCAGAGTCAGTCAAATCAAAAGGATGGACGTAATACATACTGTTAAAACAAAATACAAAGTGATCAACATTGGTTACCATAATGCCTCTTGCTATTTTAAAAAGAATTGCCTATATCATCAGTTATAATAAAATTGAACAAAACACTATAGAACAAAACCAATAAAACCAAAACATTGGAGACATTACAGGACTTCAAATGAAGATAATAGTCAAACCAGAATGGACGTCATAGTGAATCTTATTGTCTTCACAGTTGTTGCCTATACTCTCAAACTTGTTAGTATCAAGCAAAACACAATAGCGGAAAATCAGTCAAAACAAGATGGTGAGAGCAATACAGGGTTTCAAATCAAGTTAACAGAAAATCAGAGTGGGTTACTATAATATATCCTGCTATTTTAAAATTTTTCCCTTAATTACAAAGATAAAAATAAAAAAGTAAATAATAAAAAAGGAGATTGACATAAAAGAGGGCATAAAAACAAAACAGCATAGGTCAAAACACAACCATTTAAGCAAAACAGTATTTCACCACCAGATATCCCGACATAAAAGTAGTTACCATATTGTCTCTTTCCTTGAAATCTTTGAGTATAACTTCGTATACTGTAGCATCAAACATATCAAGACAATGTAAAACCATTGAAGAGAATGACAGTATTACAGAGAATTTAGAACCAACTAACAGAAAATGAACAATGGTTTCTGTATAATCTCCTTGTTTATAAAAGTTTTTGTTTATATTATCACATATGATAAAATCCAATAAGATACAACATCTTAAGATCCATGGAGACAGAAGAACAAAAGCTGGATGGGACTTCAAAACAAGATGATATTAAGTCAGCACTAGCTATTATGATCTCTTGTTTTCTCCAAAATAGCTGTTCCTATCATCCAACTTTCTCTGCCTCATTTCTGTTAAGTTCTTTTTCTGTCATTAGTTGTCAGTTTGTCTTCTTCATTTTGCTTTCTGCTCCATTCATTGCGGCCTCTCTGCCACTGCTTCTGGAATCTTGGTATTTTCATTTTCTTAGAATGTCCTGCAGTGTTCTTTGTAGAGTTGAATTGGTGGTTGCAAATTCCCCTAGTTCCTCTTTATCCTGGAAGCACCTTGTTTTTCCATCAATTTCTAGAGATAGTTGTGCAGAATATATCAATGTTGGCTGGAGGTTATTATCTTTCAAAGCTTGAATTATTTCCCCCCATGTTGTTCATGATTTGATGGTTTGTGCTGAGAAGTCTGCTGTAATTCTGATGGGTGTTCCCTTGTAAGTAATCTATTTCTTGTCTCTGATGGCTTTTAATATTCTGTTCTTATATTGGATTTCTGGAATTTTGATTATTATATGCCTGGGTTTTGTTCTGTTTGGGCTGTAGGTGCCTGGGGTCCTGTATGCCTCATACATCTGAGTATCTTTACGTTTTGCTAAATTAGGGAAATTTTCCTGGATTATTTCTGTGAATAGCCTTTGTAGTTCATTTGTTTGTGTCCCTACTTCTTCTTCTATGTTCTTAATTCTTAAGTTATAGATCCTCTTATCATCTTCAAGCCTTTGTATTACTGCTGTTTGTTTTCTTGTTATTTTTAAGAAGTTTTTCATTTCATGCTCCGAAATCTGTCCTCCGGTTCAGATGATCTATCCTTAGTTTCTTTCAAGCTGTTATGCCAGCTTTCAATAGAGTTTTTAGTTTCCTGGTAATCTCTTTGAATCTGCTTCATGTATTCTATGTTTTCTGTAGTTTCTCCATCAAACAATTCTCCCCTTTTTTTCTGTTCTTCCATTCCATCATCTGTTTTTTCTTGTCAGTGCTTAGCATTTTTCTAACTATTCTACTTATATCTTGCTTTAGGTCATTAAATACTTCACTTTTGAACTCGTCTATGAGGCTCTGGAGATATTGCTTATGTCTATTGGTGCCATATCTGATATTGCATGTTTTCTGTCCTCATTCTCCTTTGCATTTACCTTTCCTGGATCAGTGTTCTCAGGATTGGGGGCCAAGGACCCTTTCTTGTTGCTCCCTCTTCCCATATTTTTTGTTCCTTCCATAAAAGTGTATATAGGAAGCCCAGTTTCTTTCTTTGTGGGTTACAGTTTGTTTGAATTGCACCGGTGATGTGTTCCCACCCACTGCAATCTACTAGGGAGACACAGACCTGGGCTGCCTCTGCTGGGGACACCCCTCCAGTAGGTCAGTCAACCTACTGAAGGCTTCACTGCTAGGGTGCACCACCAGGTGCTGGGACCTAGTTTGGGCTAGCCTACTGGGTCTTAGTCTGCAGCATCACGCAGGTTAGGGCTTCCTACCAATGCCGCTTGAGAGGGGAATATGTGACTGAAATTACTGCAGTGTCCTCTTCCGGCTATTCTGCCCAGTCCCAGAATGTCCTCTGTTGAAGCCTCCTAGTCTATGGAAGGGTCCCCGTTCCTCTCACTCACC